CACCGCCAAGGGGATGCGCCCCCGCGCGACGGGGGCGCACACCCGCAGCGCATCCAGCGTGGCGGGCACCCCGTCCAGCTGCCGCCCGCCGTGGTTGGAGATGAGCACCCCGTCGACGCCGTGCTGGATGGCGAGCTCGATGTCGGCGGGCGCGTAGACGCCCTTCAGCCAGATGGCGAGGCTGGTGTGCTGGCGCAGCCAGGGGATGGTTTTCGTCCAGTGGATGGTTGCGTCTTCCCTTGTTAGCTGCTTTCTTTAGGAATGCAAAAAGCAGAAGGAGGGGTGGGGGACCGGATACCATAACCCCGCTCGTACGTATCCTCCAGCCCCATCTCGGCCGCCCCAGCCAGCACGGGGAACTTCAAGTGCGGCGGGAAGTTGAAGTTGTTTCGGGATTCGTTGAGCCGGTTGCCCAGGATGGGGAGGTCGACGCTCACGAAGAGGGCTTTGTAGCCTGCTTCTGTTGGGTGAATATAGTGATCAGTATCTTTCCCTATACTGATCGGGTTCGAAGCATGGTTGTGTCTGCCGCCGACCCAGCGAACATCCCCTCCGCACGATGAACCCAAGAAAAGGACCGGGGACAACGAACTCTCCGCCGCTTGGATGATCCTCTCCGTGATACTGATGTCCTGGAAGAACGAGACCTGCATGATATACGGATTCCCCCGCCCCTCGCTCGCGGCGATCACCTCCTCCACGCTGGAGGTCGACCACGAGGACAGCGCCATCGGGATGTTATGGGCCGCGGCCGCGCGCGAGGTCCCCGTCTCGCCGTCGATGTGCGCGAGTTTGTGGGCTGCCGCCGGGGAGAAGCCGAACGGGAAGGCGATTCGACGGCCGAAAAGCGTGGTGGTTGTGTCGAGGTTGGAGACGTCGCGGAGCACCCGCGGCATGAGTTTGTAGCGGCCGTAGGCTGCTTCGTTGTCGCGGAGGCTGTCTTTCTTTGTGAGTATGGAGCTGGGGATGGGGATGGGGAAGGAGGAAGGGGAGGTAGGGTGTACGTGATCAGGTCGCCGGCGCCTTCGTTGAAGTAGTCTGTTTCTTTCGGTTAGGCTTTGTTGGGGCTGGGGATTGAGGCGTAGGAGTGGTGGCCACGAACCTCGTACGACCGGGGGTAGGCGTTTTTGCGCCTCGACCGCCAGGTCGGCGATGGTGAGGACTTTGGTGTCGTGGATTTTGCCGCGGTTGGACATTTTGGCGGTGTCTTCGTGGGTGATGGGGAGATGGGTTGGTGATGATTCTTGAAAGAGTTGAGAGCTATATACTTTCACTTCCTTGCTGGTGTCTACTGCCAGCTTCTCCGCATCGGCTACCTCCACGATAAGCCACTGTTGAGGCAGGTCATCCCGGGGCAGCCAACACGGCAAGCCACCCCGGATAAGATAGCCCTAATTGGATTGTCCCGCGATAGCCCGCCTGCAGGCGCATCCAACATTCATGCATCATCTCTGGATATAAGAACCCCGCTTCTACTACGTCTTTGCCACTCATTCAGCATTACTGTCACTGCAGGATCATCATGTCTACCAAAGCCATTGTGACAGACCCCGCCGCCTACCACGCCGCTGGGGTCATCTCCAACGGCCCTCTGCTGCACATCTCCGGTCAACCAGGCACCTTAGCGGGCAAGACTCCCTCCGATGGCGTCTCACAGATCCATTTGGCCTTGTTGAACTTGCACCGTGTCATCGCCGCGGCCGGCGCGTCTCCGCGTGACATTGTCAGTTTAACCCTCTACGTTGTCAATTACGATGCGGCCAACCGTCTACACCCGAGGCCCCTCCAGACCTTCCTCGCTGGCCATCTTCCTGCCGTGACTGTCGTGCCGGTTCCTGCTCTGGCCGTGCCGGAGTGGAAGTACGAGATCGCTGCGACCGTTGCAGTTCCATCGGCCACCGTTCCCCGCTCGCTGCCCTCGCCAACTGATGCCGACGTCGACGTCCTCGTCATCGGCGCAGGTCTCTCCGGTCTGGCAGCAGCCGAGTCGGTCCTCCAATCCGGCCTCTCCTGTCTCATCCTGGAAGGCCGGGACCGTGTAGGCGGCAAAACATGGACGGAGACCCTTCCCAGCGGCACAGGAGTCGTCGACCTGGGCGCCGCCTGGATCAATGACACCAACCAGACCGAGATGATCGCCCTCGCCCGACGCGCCAGCGTTGAGCTCATCGAGCAGAACACCACTGGCAACTGTCTGCTGGAGCAGGACAAGGGCCCTACCGTTCTCTTCCCCTACGGCCAAACCCCATGCGTAAGTTGCACCACCCTCGTCTCCACACTCAACCTCACCACACTAACAACCCCAGATCACACCGCAAATCCAATCCGAACTCGATAACGTCCGGGAAATGTGCGAGGCCGACTGCCAAGCACTCTCCTGCGAAAGCCCCACCGACCCCGCTCTCGACTCGCTCTCCTTCTACGCCTACCTGCAGTCCCGCGACGTCAGCCCCGCCGCTCTCGCGACAGCATCAGTCTGGACGCGCGCCATGCTCGGCCAAGAACCCACCGACATCTCGGCCCTCTACTTCCTGAACTACTGCCGCTCCGGCGGCGGCCTGATCCAGATGCGGTCCGACCGGCGCCACGGGGCGCAGTACCTGCGCGTCCGCGAGGGCACGCAGAGCTTTGCCCAGACCATGGCCGGCGACCTGCCGACAAACACCATCCACTTCAACGAGCGCGTAGACGCCATCCTCCCAAGTCCTCGCCCGGGGGTTGTCGTCCTCTCCCGGACGGGCCGCGCCATCCGCGCCAAGAAAGTGATCTGCTCCACCCCGACCCCGGTCCTCAACACCATCCAGTTCCACCCGCCGCTCCCGGCCAAGAAACAGCTGCTGGTCGACTCCTTCCGGTACGGCTACTACACCAAGGTGATGCTGGTGTTCCGGTCGGCCTGGTGGGTCGAGCGCGGGTATTGTGGGCTGGTGCAGTCGTTCAAGGGCCCCGCGTCCATCTATCGGGACACGAGCAGCCCCCGCGATGGCAAGTTCGTGCTCACGGCGTTCTTGGCGGGTGAGAGTGGCCGGCAGTGGGCGCGGGAGAAGGACCCGCGCGAGCGGGAGCAGGCGCTGCTGCGCCAGTTGGGGCGGATCTATGATGAGCCCGATGTCCCGGCCAACGAGTTTGTGGAAGCGTTGGGCCACGAGTGGAGCGAGGAGGAGTTGTCGGGCTGGGGGTGTCCGTGTCCGGCGCTGCCGCCGGGGGTGTTGACGCTGGCGGGCGAGGCGTTGCGGGAGCCGGTCGGGAATGTGCACTTTGTGGGGACGGAGACGGCGGCGGAGTGGAAGGGGTATATGGAGGGGGCGGTGCGGAGTGGGCGACGCGGGGCGAGGGAGGTGGTGCAGGGGTTGAATCGGAGTCGACTGTGATGATGGTGATGGATTGGGGAGTGAGCTGGAGAATAAAGATCAAGTTGGTGAGGAGAGGAGGTTGTGTTGACAGTAAAGTGTTTACAGTAAAGTGCAGGCGGAGATACGGGTCTCGGCCAATCCGTAACTCCGGCCTCCGCACAGTCGGGGATTACATAAGCCAATATCCCCCCTCGCGTTCATTTGTTGATTTGTTGCAGGGCTTCTCCTCCTCACACCCCTTAATATTATGATGACGACTGTAATCTCATCACTCCTGGTACCAAATCATCATGTCACTCCGACTCCGGCGCCTTCTCCCCGCCATTGTCATTATAGCTGTTATCTACACCTTCCACCACACCTTCAGCTTCTCCTCTTCACCTCCTGCTCTCCCTCTCCATCCCACCCCTTCCGACTGCGCCCTCCCCCCCATCTACGATGACGTGCTGGTCATCCTCAAAACCGGCATCACCGAAGCCCGCACCAAGGTGCCCCCGCACCTGACCACCACCCTGCGCTGCATCCCCAACTACGTGATCTACTCCGACTACGCCGAGCCCCTCTCCTCGACCGTCGCCACGCAAGACATCCTCGGCCCCTACATCTCCAGCACCACGAAATCCACCAACCCCGATTTCGGCCTGTACAACCGCGTGCGCCTGGCCGGCCACGCCGGCCTCACACCCGCCGACCTGGTCGCGGACGTCAACACGCCGATCGGCAAACCCAACAACCCGGGGTGGAAGCTGGACAAGTGGAAATTCCTGCCGATGGTCGACGCCGCGCTGGCCGCGCGTCCGTCGGCCCGGTGGTTCGTCTTCATGGAGGCCGACACCTACCTCCTCTGGCACAACCTGGCCGCCTGGCTGGCGCGCTTCGACCCCGCAAAACCGTGGTACCTGGGCAACCAGATGCAGATCGTGGACGCGCTGTTCGCGCACGGCGGGTCCGGGTTCGTGCTCTCGCGGCCGGCCATGGAGCTCGCCCGCGCCCTGCGGGCGCACAGCGGCGACGGCTGGGAGACGGCTGTCGATGCCCACTGGGCCGGCGACTGTCTGTTGGGGATCTTGCTGGAGAGCTGCGGCGTGGCGCTGACGTGGAGCTGGCCCATGTTGCAGATCGCGCCGCCGGGCGAGGTGGATTACTTCGGTGTGCGTGCGGATACCCCCGATCGGGTGTGGTGTTATCCCGCGGTGTCGTTTCATCATCTGGATGGGGAGGAGGATCTGCGTGGCTTGGTGGAGGTGGAGAAGGGGTGGGAGCGCGATGGGTATACCGGTCGGGTCATGGTTCATCGGGATGTGTTTTGGCGGGTGGTTTGGGGCCAGATTCAGTCCCCGAAGGATGGGTGGGATAATTTGGTGGGCGACGAGGTTGGGCTGACCGCCACGGTTGACGAGTGTAGGGAGATGTGTGCCCATGAGGCCCTGTGTCTGGGATATCGGTTTGCAGTTGGGGAGGGGAGGTGTTGGTTGGGAAGGGGGATGCAATTGGGGAAGAAGGCGGACGGTTTTACGTCTGGTTGGATGACGCATCGCATTCAGGCGGTTGCGGACAGTTTGGGCCGGTGTGAGACCATCAGTTGGATTGGGTGAGACTGGCTTTTGCAATTTTTCCATTTCGTGGATCAAGGGGGTATTTCTTGCACTATGGGTTTACGGATACCGTGCTGTCCTCCCCCTCCTCCTGTTTTTGCTGCTGCTGCTGCTCCAGGTAATACCCCTGGCTCGACCCTCGAATCACAAACTCCCGCGCCAGCCCCTTGACCTGCAAGTCGACCAGCTGCGCGTCGCGATACTCATATCGACCGAGCACGATCTCTCGGCCGGCCGAAAAATCAAATGGGCGCAGCACATCCACCCGAAACTGCACTTTGGGTTCCGCTCTGCTGTCCGCGGCCAGCTGCACCGCGCCCGTGACACTGTACAGGAAACGGTCCAGCGCGAGGAACCAATCCCAGCCTTCCTCGCCGGTGGTGGCGTATTCGTGCCAGAAGCTGCTGAAGAGGACGGTGGGCCGTCCGCCCGCGACCAGATCCTGGGCGGCCAGGCGCGCCTTGAAGGTCACCAGCGTTTGCACCTCCTCGTAGAAGCGGGGTAGTGCGGCCAGCAGCTCGTCCGGCGAGATGTCGGCGTCCGTCCCGGTGTTACCCAGGTAGTGTTGCAGGTAGTGGGCGAAGTGCGGTTGCTGCTGTTGCTGTTGGGCGGCGAGCGCGTAGAGTTGGGTTCTGGTGGTGTGGTCGGCCGCGTTGGCCCGCTGGGATTTCCACGGGAATTGGACGGCGTGGTCGGTGGGTGGAGGGTCGTGGGGAGGGGGTGGGAGACTGATGCCCACGCTGGAGACCGCGATGGTCTGGAGCAGGAGGATGAGGAGGAGAGGTATACGCATGGTGGGTGTGGTGTGAAGGAGTAGCTCTTGGGTAGTATGCGGGGTCGGACAAACGCGCTCAGCAGCAGCAGTAGTAGCAAAGAAAGCAAGAACCACCACAGAATTAGAATCGGAACAGAAAAGACAGACAACAGAGGGGAGAAAGAAAACAGCGAAAGAGAGAAAGACAGACCCTCAGACCCTCAGACCCTCATGGCCGGGTAACCTCAACCCTAGTCGGAAACCTCCATCAACCTCAAACGCAAGCAGTGGAGAGCGGGAAAAGCATTGCGCCTATCACCAGCCTGCATGGCTGGATCGACAACGGTCACCCCCGGATTCAGACATGGATCTTCCGACGATTCGTGATGCAGGGTCAGGGTCGTGATCGGGCACCTGGAGCTCCAGATTTACTTGATCCTGAGGAGTGGAGGGATGAGCAAACGGTGCTTCCGTCTGATGATGTTGATTATGACCGGGGGAATGCAGTAGCAGCCTGACGATTGCCTGATTCCGGCCTGCAGCAGCTGTCAAGCACGACGGGCAAGCATTCTGGCAGTGGGGCTGCCCAGTCGGCGGACCCACTGGGCTGAATCTGGGCCTTTCCCTTGTCGGCTTGGGGGGGTTGGCGTTTGTCTGGCGCGGCGTTTGCTGGCCATTGCAACTTTTGGTCAACGGTGGACACTGTCCATTTTACCTGGTCTCTTTATTAACACCTTTCCTGCTGCCTAGTCCTTCCATTCACGCCTGTGGTCTCTTTATTGGCACCCAGGCCTTTACCCAGTATTCTCATAACGGCCGTGCTTTTTATCCGGTTAATTTATCAACATTTTGCTCTGCCCCAGCTCCCCATTACCGGGTGTGCTCTGTATCCAGCCGCCCTATTAACACTGTACTCTCTACCAAGACTTCCCATTAACGGCCGTGCTTTTGACTATTCGCCGGTGAAGTTTTACTATTCTCACTCGCGTCACTTACTACCTCTACATACAAAATATATACATATATACCCCTCCAGCGATGCACCTCTGCCTCCATCTTTCTTCTGTTCAACTTTCTCTCATTCCTTCTTCTGTATATATATTTCTCGGTGTGTTTCATTTATTCCTTGGCCCATTGCAACTCAAAATGTTCTCTGTTCTGAATCTCTTTCAATCTTTTTTCATCCATACCTCAAGTTCACGGGAGTCCATGTCCCGTAACCGCCACTATCACCCGCCAAGTCCTACCTTAGAACCATGAGCAGCCCTTACTTGACCTCCAAACTGTCCACGGAAGCACCTCCAATCCAGGCCCTATGCTCCATGAAGTCAGTACTGTGACCCCTCTGTGAACCCGCTCGCTCTTTTGCTAACTGTTTAGAGAGAGTCTCTTTGCAAGCCGATTTCCCCGGGGCTGTCAACAAAGGCATCCCCGTGAATAGCGACGCGCAGCAGTTGGGTTGACGGCGTGCCTACATCCCCCAGTAAGATTCTTGTTCCTGGTTTTCACTCAGACCAAGCCTTGAACTAACATCCTCTGCACACTGCATCTAGGAATCATGACTCGCCGTCTGCCTCCACATGCAACATGAAGTGAGGGATACAGCGAGCTTATGTGCGAGCGAGACATCGCACACGCACCAGCTGCTGCAGATTGGAAGCTTGGCGGACGGTCAGAGGGACCGGTTGAGATAGTCCTCTCTGCACGCATGTCTGCTCCGGAGCCCAGGTTCGCTGGTGAGACGGTCTGCTTCGACATCGGGTTGTGCTTGAGTTAACCCTGGGTAAGCGACCATTTCTTCTTCCGTTGGCTGTTGAGAATTGTTGCTGATGCTTAGGGCTTAGACACGAGCCGTCATATTATCCAATAGTTAGATCAGACGGCTGCTATCGAGCCATTGGCGCTTCAAGGGTTGTGCTTAAGGAGTGTCGAGGACGTCTTGGCCAGCTGAGGGGATGGGAGTCGCTCTTGGATGAGGAGGTACGTGAGTTCGGTCGGCGCTTGAAACTGAGACATAGACGAAGGGTCTACAGTAAGTACATCACCACCTTCTCTCATTGTCCCAGCCGCAGAGGGAAGGGGCTTGTTGCACAACCGTACTGACGCTTTTGCGACCGATAGGATCTATGTCTGAACCCCCAAACCTAGCTGGCGAACATGCACCACACCCCTCGATTCGGCTACAGTGATCCACTGGGAGATGGTCTCGTTCCGAGTCGTCCGAGCCCCCAACTGGGACTGGACCACTGGACTACCCTCTAAGCATTACCCTCCACGTCCAAAAAATCCACCTGTCCAACATCCAATCCGTCTCCAAATCCAGTACTGTCTCTTGAGCTCCTGGATCGCCGAGGCCCTTCTGCAACATGCCGTTCATTACCACCACCACCAATATGGAGTCTACACCCGACGTCCGGGTGTTAACTCATATACAGTTCACGAGCACCAGCAGACCATCGTCGTATCAGGCACCCTGGATGACGGAATGCGGCCCCTTACCTTCACGGCTTGTGCCGCACAGGCCTTCTCGTGCAGTGCTATTGTGAGCTACGAGCCTGAGGAGAACCGTGATCAGCCCAGCAAGGCTCGGGAAATGGTGCAATGTGTCACACACTGCGTATAGTGGACATGGATCACCTCAGGGTCGCTGTCTTCCACCCGATGTGCACTTCAACCCTACTTGTCATGTCAGTCGCCATGGCGTCCTGCCCGAGGAAGGGGAAAGGTACTCCGGAGTATGTGGTGGATCGTACCACACGTCGGCGCCGGTGATTCAACCCATGCTCCAGCAGCCAGACCAAGTCATGCCTGGACCATGTCCGATTCATACTGGGACACGCCTGGACAGTCGTTCCTTCCTCAATCACTTTCGCCGATCATTCATCGGCTCGTTCCCTGAGCCTGCGGCACCTGTTGAGGCTGCTGAGCTTGGTTAACCCGCGGGACCCTCGCAATGTTCATCCCGGATACTGCGCACGGTCTTGCATGACACACTGGCCGTGCAGATCAGTTGCATTCCTCAGTACAAGGCTTCATCCACTGAACGGACGAGTGCCAGTGCGACCACCTTCTTGGCCGCATACCACACGGCTTCCTGGGCATGCTCTGGATCCCACCTGTGAAAAACACGGTGAACTTCGACCCAAGGTATATGTATTGGCAGCAGTACTTGTTTTTCATGAGGCATTGTCGGACCAACACCTAACCTTCCAACAGCGGCGTCGTCAACCCCCCGAACCTCCCGAACCCCACGCACCCCCAGAAAACAACCCCCCGCCCGAAATCCACACCCTGCCCGCCAACTTGGAAATGCCCCTCCGGCAAGGGCTTCGACGCCGGCAGCCCGATCCGCTGCCTCCACAAGGAGCCCGGGCGGTACGTCTGCATGTCGCCGGTGGGGTGGGCGCGCCCGCACTGCCAGCGGGTGTTTCCGTCGCTGTGCCACCTCCGGCAGCATCTGCGAGCAGGAAGAGCCGAAACGGAATTGTTTGGCTCTTATGCGCCCTTCAGATTCTGCGCGTCCGCTATCCGGTCACCGTCCAGGAACGCGTTACCCTCACGGGGTAGTTCCGCTACCTGAACTGCCACACCTACTGGCACATGACCGGCATGGTTGTTGCTCCAGCAAGACAGGCGGCAATAGTCCCATGGAACGGAATCACGGTCGAGACCCTCGAGGCCTTCCCGTGCGTCTAGCGGATGAGTCTCTCATAAAGAACAACCACAGGAGTAGTTCCTCATCACAGTCATGATGAAATAAGTGTCTTGGAGTGCTGATCCCTCCACTAGGGCATTGCTGTTCACATCTCCCGTGGTCGAGAACTAGCAAAAGCTACCTTCGCGTTCAGCCTTCGTCGACGTCGTCGAGGAACGGGCCATTGCGAGGAGAGAAGTCGCGCCTTTCGAGAGACTTTTGAGCCTTAGTCGCTGAAGATGACTGGCGCGTAAAGATTGCTCACAGCATCATACCCGTCCCTGCATCACTACCTCTGTTTAGATGCCCAATGCGACGCGCTTCCCGACCCGTGACTGCAAGAAGAACTACTCAACAGAGGCACGATACCAAGATATCGGACCCCAGTCAGGATGAACTGCCGCGTAAGACAATGCAATGTTCCTGTCCCCGGATACAGTTTCGCGTCAGACATGACGGCAACCACATCATTACCATGCATGTTCACGTTGCTGAGCGAAGAGCGATGGCTATGCTCAACATTCCCCGGGGAAAATAGTCGAATCCCCACCTTCTGAGCGGCTCGGTACTGAGCACTGGGAGTTCTACTGTCTCGGTCGGGTTTGGTGCCCTGATGCCTTTGCAGCCATGAAAGGCTGGGTCCGGGACCGAGGCAACATACCTCGGGAGGTCATACGCGCATCTTCAGCCGGAACGCTGCGGCGCCCGGCGACCGTAACGCAACGTGAACTTGATTTGTGTCCGCGCGTCGCAGAATTCAAAGATATCGTCACCCCGAGATCGGCAGGCAAAGTGAGGACGCGATCCAGCACCTGGGGAACTTGCAGATCTGTCTCCGGGGCATCGCCCGGTCTCTGGCCCAGCTTCTCATCGTCGTCGCATGTTCCACGGAAATGAGGGTCCAAACGACTGGTTACCGTTGACGTACCTAGACGACGCTAATGACAAACCAGGGAAAGGCCTGCGGGCATTTCCTCATGGCTGTGTCTTTTCGAGGTCTCTGCGCGCAGCAGCCCCACCCTCCTGGGTGTCTCGTTAGCAGACTACGTTGATTCATCGACTCTCCCCACCGCAGAGCACCGAGAAGGAAGCCCACAACAACTCGCGAGTACGCTATTGATTGCTCTGGCTCATCAAACCTCCCACAGATTACTCGAAGAGGATATTCACCAGAAGGCATCCTCAACACCAATCCTCGAGGAGAAATGGCATGAAGCCAGGGGTCCTACTCATGGAGATCATAGGAAACCCAGAGCAAACCCGGCGAACGGGGCAAACCAAGTAGACAGGGCAACGACTCTAGCACCGAGGCTCCGCGGACTACCCAAGACGCAGGCTTTGACAGAGAAATGGCAACGAGAACACGCGTCTGGCCAGCGGTCTACCGCCAAGACCATGCCTCGGCCGTCTTCCCAGGGTGTTCTGACTACCGATACCCCCGTCGGGACATCGTCACCATTCGGGATCCGCACCGATGCCGGGCAATAGGCGCGAAGAACACGAGAGAACGTGTGTCTTCTGGGCCGAGTGGCCTTCTCGACTGGCAAGAGGATGATGGACTGGGCGGACATGGAGGAACATTACACCAAAGGGAGATTGGCCGGAGGATAGATCTTCTGCGGCGTGTTTCCCATCTTGCTACCGGAAAAGGTCGAGACCGTTGGAGCCTGGGGGAAGTAAGCCGGCTTCCGGGTGGTAGCACACTTCCTCCGGAGGGATTGCGGCTCCATCCACGGGATGAGCTGCAAGTGATCTTAGCTGATGAGAGAGCTTTGATGCTTTGTCCCTTGCAGTGGGGGCTTTTTGATAATCCTGAGGTGGACCGGGATTTCCCTGAAACACCCAGTTTGTGAATATCCAGGAAGGAAGTTGATATCGGTATTCGAAAGTGGATTCCACCCTGAAAGATCAATTGCACCGACTGCTTGAGTCATTCCAGGCTACCGATGACATGAATCACGTCCTTGACAACATCAACTGGACTGAGGAGACAGCGCTCATGACGGCTCTAGCTGTGGCTGGTTCTGAAGAAGGACAGAAATTGACGCTTAGATCCGAAAGCGATGTCCGACAAGAAGCCAAAGCGAGATTTTAGTTTCCGCATGCACGGAAAGCCTCCTTCTTCCATCCGAGGTTGAGTAGAACCGAGTTCGTGTCTTTTCTGGTAGTCTCACCTCCTTATGCGCCTCCCAGCCGAGCCACGAATCCAGCCTTGGGGATTGTGCGTTCAAGGCTCTCGAGCTCTGTTGGTGGAGTGGAGACACCGTGGCCCGCTCCCCACTTGATTGTACCTAATTTTCTGGCCGTGCGCTGCACCGTCGCGGCTCACCCGTGGAATCTTGTGAGGCATCTGCGGCGAGGAGACTGCGAGACCCTCTCACTCGTCGAAGACGTCCCCCCCGGGACCGAGATTCGCAACTTTCGAAATCGACCGCGAGTGTGGAGCTCTCATCCGACCACACCGCATCAGAGCCGACCAGGTGCACTGCGGCCTGCCGTAGCCTGACCCTGCGAACTCGGCTACGAGCTCTCCTTTCTCAGGCGGAACTTGTGATTATGATTGACACACTGGACTAGATGCTGTGCGATTGAAAAGATGATAGGCGGTTCTTGAAAGCAGACTGGATCGACACCCAGTGTTGAGCCGAGGTCTGAGTCCCGGTCCTTAAGCTTCCGCGATGATGCTCACGGCTCGAGCAGTGAAGACCTTCCATCCAGGGGCGAGGCTTGGGAGAGAAACGTCTTTGTGCCTTGAGGTTGAGTCCGAACGTCAAGCTGCGTCCTCAGTCGTCTGGTAGTTTTGATGCCCTACACAATTGCTCCTCTTGCTGGCGTTTTGAAAGACACCCGCTGGGCGGAATAGTCGCGCAGCCCCCCTCCAGAACAGGTGACGCGCTGACCCAAGGCGATTGTTCCACGCAATGGTCTTGAATCTGACCGATAGACTAGAAAGCACGCACTGTTTCCTCCTATTGGGAAAGCCCCCGGTTACTCTCATTTCAAGCCCAAGCGGCCAAGCTTGCTTTTGCATTTCCAGATATTATAGGGTTTCCCTCGGATTGAATCGTCAAACACGATACCAATTGACAAACCTGGCTCTCGTCATTCTGCTATCATGAACCTGTGGATGGACCTAGTTCATCGTTGCGCCGGTCAGGTCCTAATCATCGCGCCCACCAACCAGGTTGTCGACCAGATTGCATTGGCATTAGCACAGAGTTTACTATGAGAGTCCATGCTACCGATGTGCAAGTCTGGAACAGTACCGTGGACCTCTCCTTGAACAGATTCGGCGCTGGGATTCAAGTGGACAAGGTGACCTTGAACAGAGTCAAGAACAAAGGGGGTAATCCTTGCCGCCTCTGCCAAAGCGTCCGGCAGCCTCAGTCCCGACGCCCGGCGGCGACATCAAGTGCATCCACCTCCAGCCCCGTCAATTCGTGTGTATGAGCTCCCCTTGGCTCAGACCGCGTTCACTGCGTACGGAAGCTTGGCTCGCTGGCGCTGTTGCGTCGACCTCATATGGTCCTGTATGACCCGCAGACGCAGATGTGCGAGCACTGCGGGAGGTGTCTTTCTCGGAGCTTTCCGTGGGATTTGCATCTTGCGGGAGCATCGGGGGAAGTGGGAAGAGGAGAGGGTTGGGGAAGAGGTGGGCGAGCGTGGAGAAGAAAAGCACAGGAGGCTCGTTGCTACTGCAGTCCGGGAGACGGGCTAATCACCATAGTACACGTGAACAAGAGCAAGTTTCTGATTCATTCTGCGCCCCTCCAGCTACCTCGCTTTTATCCTGATTCCACTTTGCGAATGCGGCTTGCTCAGACGAACGCGAACTTCCCCACCAGGCGCCCGCAGGAAGTGTGGGCACGGTGCTATGCTTGCGGCGCTGTGGCTGAACTCACTCAGGGTTGCAATCAAATGACGTGGGTCTCTCTGACATGATTTCATTCTAACACTGTTCTTTGGCCTATGGTTGCCACTGCGTCGCGGAGTTCAACTTTGAGTGCGGTGCCGGATGACGGACATGCCTCCCCTCAGTCGGAGGAAGGTAATCTATTTGGCAGACTTGGACGGGCCGCTAATGCAGCATTCACTGCATAAAATGCACATTCTAGCTATACGACATCGTATCGCCTACGGTCAGACTGTCGAAGCTGTGGTGACGCACACCCCTTACCAGAGACAAGAAAAGCGGGTGGTTTCCAGCATTTTCAGGGTCTACGACTCAGCCTCGGGCTCGGTCTCTTCTTGAACACATCGGCATGTTGACCATGCCCAGCAGCAGGATGACGCAATTGAGCAGGGTGTGCAGGGTGCACCGGCCATGATACTTCAATCGCAGACGCAGAGCCTGCTGCATCTGTTCATTGGTGTTGCAGATGGCCTGGTAAAACAACGCGACACCGACCCCGCTTTTGCGGTATGGAGCAGATGATCCTATCTTCTGGGGTTGGGGACAATCTTCATATTTATCGTGCCAGGAACGCCTTCACGATCTTGTGGAACAGTCCAATAACGGAGTTCACTTCCTTATTTCCCACTTTCTTCCCACCAGTGTGGCGGAAAAAGAGGCGTCCATGCCCTCCTGGACGGTGCCAGGACCTTTGCGGCCCTGTTCTATGCCGTGGCTGCCCTGCACCTGCAGCTCCCCTAGCGTATATAGTCGCTGTTGAGGGCGGGCTGGGACATCCCGGTAACCTTCGTCGGGGCCTGTCAGAAACCGTGCCCTGGAGAACCCGCGGTGTGGCCAGCTGGATGATCTGATCTGCACCAACGCAGCGCGGGTCAGGGCTGCGACAACCAGCAGCGGGGCAGCCACCCATGTCCATAATTGGAGCAGTGGCGGCCCAGTCAGTATCTTTCCCCACCATACCAGATTGCAAAGGCCCTGATGGTAGGCCCCTGCCACGCCTAACGGTGACGATGTCATGCACGTTGGCCAGGAGGAACTTCGAGAGGATTCGGACTCTAAGCATGTGAAAGAAGATTGGTTTCAAGGCGTCTTTGATTCGAAGACGATACTCTGTGGATGAGTCGCCCTCGTCCCCTGTCGACTTCTGCGACCCCCGGCAGGACACGGCAAATGCATTCATGGTCTCTCTATCCATTGATCGTCTCAGCGAAGAGACCTTTGCCGCATTCCAACGCTTCTTGAACCTACCAAAGGACTGCAGACCCGGTCGGCAGCCCCGTGACAAAGTTCCCGCACCAGGCATGCAGATTTCCGCCAGAGCGTCCCAGCCGTTCAACCTTCGGTTCACGCCATCCACAGAAGGGATGAATGCCGTTCGGGGGCGGCATCTTCAAAGCGGGTACCGTCGGATCTGGAAAGACATAAACTCCGTCGGCCTGTCTCCCAACCAGCAAGGAAGTCTACGTCGTGTAGTAGGATGTGTTGAGGTTGTTTGCCATACTGCTTGCGGAAGCATATTCTACGAAAGCGTAAGCTATCATGCATGCCGGTCTGAAAGCTCGATTCCCGGGCCAAAGCTGGGACCTGCATTGGAAGGATCAGGATTTCCAGCTGAGGCACCATGGTCTCTGCCTGTCTGACTGACTGCGCTGGTTCAATGCATCGGACACGATCCCGAAGTATACTCAGGCGGGTCTTTCAAGCGTCATATCGCTCTTGGTTGGAAACTACTGCTGGAAGTCTGGATCCGACCAAACCAGCCCAGTCAGCTGGTGAACCTTTCAACCCAGATCGGCCGCGCTCGAGGCAAATTGCCGCCGGCTTTATATTCCCGGCGAGTCGTTGTACCTCGAAGATAATCTGCAGAGGTATATGGATCTTGGTTAATTATCTATCTGTACGGTGTCGGAGTCATGTGATTATGACAGATGGTACTACAACAGGCGCCTTGGTTATCTTCCCAGTCTATGCTCTCTGAACACTGAACAAGACGCCTAGAGACACACCCTGCACAAGATACCGTGTTCTCGTGCATCTACGGGGCTTAAGTTGGTGTTTACAATGGTCGGCAGAGTCTCGCCCCCGTTATTGGCCCAAAGAGCAAGCACCAATAATCACGGAACGGGTCGCGATGTTGTCAGTTTTTTGTTCGGCTGTGTTGAACTCCTCTATCCTTTGAACACGAGCTGCACGATATGTTACTTTAAGAGTATCGACTTCGCTACGTGGGTTTCCTTGGCTTTCACAGTTCCCCGCATTATTTGCACATTGGTCCCTCCGCATCCCTCTGTTCGAGTCAGCGCACGAAGTCTCTTCTGACAGGAGGTTCTTTCGTCTAGATTTCTTCAGAGAGAGTTTCAAAGCCTGCCAGACAATGCCTCTGAGAACAATTACAACAGACATCAGGGGCGCGCATCTGTGCTAGTCTTTTCAGTTCAGTTGTAGCGACCGCAGTCACCTTCTTCCACTTGATCGACAGTCAAGCGCGTTCATCTCAATCCCCTACACCCTACGCCTGCCTCTTTGTTCCCTAGCTCAGTCCATGATTCATCATCGCCACGGCTCTTGCCCGCCTTCTTGTTTGAACACGGACTCGACTTTCAAGAAGGCGTCGCAAACCACGCACGCCAAAACCCGCGCCCAGATTATGTTCTTCCGGTTGCCCTTCAGAATGGGATGGTCGCGGCCCTGCAGATCCTTCAACATTTCGGGGGTATGCTCAGCCATATCGAGCACGACGCTGGCGAAATAGTCGGGGTCTTCGCGTAGGGCCCATTGGTGGTCTTCCGCCGCGGAGGTGCGGTCCTACTATCAAGCCAGTGCGTATTGTCTACAATGCCGTGTCCACAGGGCACAGTCAACAGTGGGATCTCATCTGTCTTGGCGGTGTTGACGAGTCATCGTCTTGTGGTGTGCTCTTCGACTGGCACCCAATTTTCCATGGCATGATCCCTGCCGCGCTCCTCGTTCTCGCAGCATGTATCAGCTTCAGTGTCAATGTCTGTGAAGTGTTGATGGGAGCAATGACTTGCATGCTCTGTACCGTTTACCCATCTGAACCCTGAACGGGATCTGTCGCCCTTGATGACTCTTCAGCTCACTGTCTGTCGCGCACGCACTATTGATAGCATGTTCCGGCCGGGAGGCCCAGCTGTTGAGTTTCGGTTAACAGAGCAGCGGGTCCAGCGCATGCGAAACATCCTACGACGGATGCACGATCTGCCCATGGAATTGGGGGGGTTCCGGCGCAGATACACGACGCGGCCTCCGGTGCGAAATGTGTCATACCAACCATAGGTGGCACATCCTTGTGTGTTGTCTTTGTGCGGAGCAGATGAACTGGTGCGAGGTAACCACGGTAGACAAATGTCAGCGTGTGAAATGCGGTACCAAATGTTCCTCCACATCTACCACCAGGTGCTTGGATAGCCCCGCTGGCGCCCCGACGTTCTCCCTTCCCACCAGAACTACGAGATCGCTTACGCCCTCCCTGCGAAGCCGACCGGTCGGATGCGGCCGTGAGAACATGTGCAATCCACTCTCTACTACCGCTTCCGAATCCAGCAAGGAGGCCCAGGGATTTGTATTGTTCGGGTCACTGAACGGGCCCACACGCTTCCCGGGTCATTCTGGCTGGACTATGTTCCTGTGTTCGAGACGACGTGTCTGGGGACCGGGGGATGCCGCCGAGAACACCGGCCAGCAGCCGAACAACAACACCAAGGCCGCCGGGGACGCTTGCCTGTGGGATAGACTGGAACACCTCTCCCACGCATGGGTGAAATCCATCGACACCCGCCCTGGCGGCGTCGCACGGGGCTTGGGCATGGACTCCGCCGTCCGGATCTGGGAGCTGGTCTTCATGAAATAACAATTTATGCCACTGATGCGAGATTGGCTCCTGCACCGGCAGCAGTGGTTTGGCATCCGGGATATTCTCCAATCGCGCGACCCGGCCAGTGGAAAACCTCGCCAATGGAACAAGTTCCTTGGTGAGGAAATCCAGGCTCAGGCGAAAAGCCCGGAGCTCTGGCGCGAGTGGGCGAGAGATGAACGTCCTGGTACTGTACACCCAATCCTTGACCACCTGATTCCTGAAATCCTCACCCTCTCAGCCATGCGATGCCATATACGCCTGGCTCATTGGTTGTGGAGTGACTACCACACTGTCTCTCGCTTCGGCCTCAATGCAGCCACTTCCTGCTCGTTGTTGCATACAGAACCCTCCTTGCCATCAACCATGGCACCATCATCCTCACCTTTCCGCCGTAACCATCATGCCCATGCTCCAAGTGTACCTCAAACAGAACCCTGTGAAAAACTACATCCCACAAGCCTCGCACGGCTGCGTTCTGGCCCCATGCATGACCTCGTCGTGGCAGCTGTCCGGCCATCGGTGCCTGGGACCTTCCTCCTTCCTTCTCTCATCATCCCATCAATGAAACTCTTGTTTGGCCAGAACATCTCTTTCCATAGCATGACAGCAGCTCGGGCCGTCCATATTTGTGAACATCCCGAAACATTGGACGCGGTTCCTACCGAGGCGGGACATGCACGCGAACCGAAGCAGACTCTTGCGGACAAAGCCGATGGTCCAGACACATTCTAGCCACATAACGCAGCCTCGGCCACACGGTGACTCAAAAGCGATCCCGTGCCGGTTCGGAGACCGGTCAATCTGGATCCGCGGTGCTCTTTGATCTGCTTGAGCGTCGCACACCTGAGCCAGACGCAGGAGCCTATCTTCTCTGTAATGTACAGGGTTGCGGGTGGCCGGACACCACTGTTGCTGGTTGGCGCGAGTGCACCTCGTGGCCCAGTGTGCCAACCGGGACCTTGTCTCGGTTACCCAGAAGCAGGGAGAGGCGGCATCACCTATTACCAGCGCCTGCTTGACCTTTGTGACGCCTGTATGTCACGTGTCCTCTGCGTCTGCGGGGACGGCCCAAGGCCGTTCCTCACGCTCGGAAGCTCGATGCATGTTTTCCATCGTCCGACGATCATTCCAGTGGGTCGTCGGGGAACTGGAAGATGAGCTCGAATCTACCCTGGGTGTTGTTGGTCGGCTGATGCTCTCCATCCTACCCAGAAAATCTCTCTTCAACGTGACCGACATGCTGCCGTTAAACTCAGCTGTCCTTTTTGCACCAGCAAGTACCGCTCGAAGCAGCCCAGGAGCTCCGGAGGCAGTTGCTCGCTTTCCTCTACTCCCACCACCGGCTCTACATGGACAGGCTGGGGCGTCCGTTACCCAGCCTCGTCCTACATCAGATCAATCCGGCCTTTAGTCTCTCGGACTACCGCTGGATCCAACTCATTCTGCACCAACAGTTGAAGCCAACTCGCCCTCCAGCCTTCTTGCTCTCCAGCCGACGTGTAGTGAGAGGTGCAGGATTAGCATTGGCGGGCTTCTGACTGGTACTCTGCTTCCCATCCATCTTGCTTGAATCTTGATTTGGGGTGTGTCAACACGGCGTTCCTGCGCTGCAAAGGTGAATGTGCACTTGCAGCCCCCTTCGGAGGACTCTCAGCAGCTAACCGGGTATGAAGACTGGGTCCAGGACGGTGGCACGGACCGTGATGGAAAGGGACACGGAACCGGTATCATCAGCCTCGTGAGGCGCAATGCCTCTTTCTACAATCGAGGTGCAAGTGAAATCTTCGCCAGCCGTCCCACAGATTACGGCTGTCCCCGTCAGAAGCCGGGAAATCCTCCATCGACACCTTCTGTGGCAGGGTGATTCGATCTAACGTCCCGGAGGATTTCGCCTTGCCGGGGGCATGAGCGGAGACATTTCAGTGCAGCCCAAGGCCTGATGGACAGCGTGAATGACCTGTCCGAGACTGGAGCCGGATTCACACGGACTCCCATTCTCATGGCGAATGTCCGGACTCCGATTCTGATTCCGAGCCGCGGGTAGCAGCTATTCCCTTCGGGTTCGGAAGAGGACACTTTAATCTTGAACGAGTTCGTCGAGCGGGCGACAGCAATTGTCGCCAGTCGAAACGTCACGGAGGTGCTACCGGTACCAGCAGCGGTACTATGAGCATGGAAGCGGCGACATCGACTCTAACGCCCGTCATGCACAGTTTATCGGCGCCAATTGACAATCCTTGAACTTCCGGCGTGCTGGAGCACGTCGAGAAGATCCTCATGCCCATTCCGTCCAAGGCCTCCCAAAAAAAGGCGCAAGGGGGGGGTCACTCCGAGACACCAAGTGCTGGAGCACAGCTCCCACGGCTGATTATAATCAAGGCTGCCTGGGAGTGGGAGCTTGATCGACGAACTACTCAAGACAGTCAAAGTCCGCGGGCCATGATGAATTTGACAGGCACCTCAGCGGCCTGTCAGCAGCCCGCACAATGGGGAAGGATGGTTTGGTAGACTCTACCCTTTTCTTTACTCCTTTCTCCCATGACCGGACCTCTTCTTCATTGATCGATCTTTGTCTCGTGCAGAAGCTAGGATGGAGGATGACTGGGGTTCCCATGGGTCAGTGGCTGGTGCTCCCTGGTCGCCCATATCCCCCTCTCATACTTGGGGTCCAACACGCCCTGGAGCAGTCGATGGAACATCACGACCGTGACGGCTCAGACTATCTCAATAACCATTCTCGTCTCCCCGAGGTAGAATTGGCCTTCTGAGTATCTCCGGTGTTCGGCTCTGGTAATGGCGAATAGCTACCGCAAGTGGCCCCACCGGGGCAGACCCTGAGCGCCCTGTCACGCTCCTGTCAATCATTCGCGCAATTCGCGCCTGTCGCGCTCATCAACACCGCGGGATGAACGGCACCGGACGTCGTCACAGCTTCTCCGCTATTCGAATAGACCTTGCGATTGGAGCACGTGCCTATCGCATGCTGCTGAGAATAATCACCATGGGCAGGCTCAGACTAACTCTGCCAGTGGGCTTTGATATAACTTTCAAGCCCCGATAATCCAGCGTTCTTCACGGGCTTTCCGCGCCTGGTCCTACATAACCACAAAGCAGCGGACCGATGCGACCACAGCCTTCACTCAATCGGGCACTGAACTCCAGTGTTTGGTCACAACCTACCCTGTGGCCTCTGTGGGGCTTTACCTTGAGTGCTGCTGCGACACAGTGGTGCTGATTGAGCTCCGAAACCGCGACAAGCAGTTTCAAGCAGCAGGGCATATGACTCCCGTGGATCGCGATCGTGGAGGGCGACAAGCGGCTTGCACGGTGTGCGTCGCAACCGACACAACCACGCGGTTCCGGGGCAGACCTTTCCCCAGTGAGTCGTGGGGAATCAGCGCATCATCATCTACATCGACGAAGCGGCTGGGGTCCTCTTATCCGCTCCTCACTCATTTGTTTAGAGCGCATATTTTGTCCGCGAACAGTCTGCCCGACCAACTGCGGAGGTTTTGCTTCCATGCTTCTAGTTAGTCTAACAGACCCTCGAGTCCAAGCCATCGGCCTCATTTCAATTGACTAGAAGGATGCAGAAATTTTCTTCCCTGCTCCCATGTGAGATACGTCTCGTCGAACCCAAGAACCTCCTGTATACTATCTCGGAGAATACTCGTTCCATTGGCCAGCTGCGCCTTCTGGCGTCAAACAACAATGACGGCCCTCAACTCCGTCAACTACGCATAAAGGGGCCAGAGATCACACCACATTCTGGATGCTTCATGCGAATGTCATTCGGTTGGCCGAGAAAGCACTGCCGCTCGTGGTACAAAGCCTTTGTTGATGCCGCCTCTAGCTGTGGCCTTTCGCGGGAGATGAGGGCCTGCAAGAACCATGTGAAGTTCAGTTGATCCGACCCACCGGAGGCCATCAGAGAATCGCCGTCTCGGTCTGCAGAGACCGACCCCATCCAGAGATTCATAACTGTATGATTGCTTCGGAGAGCTGAGTTATAAAGTCGGCATCGGTTTGAGATTTGATAGACGAGACGTTTGATGCAGCAATCGGCGCCGACTACCTCCGCTCACTGGGCTTCAGGCTTCTTAGTGGCCAGTCATGCACCCTATCACATACGAGAGACCATGAGACTAATGGGAGTCTTTGTGCAGCGAAGGAAATCATGCCTTGGGGAAGCGCGGTGGCATACACAGCGTCTATGTTGTTCAAGAGGAGGAATGCTTGCAGCGCCGGATCATGGAGCAACCATTGTAAGTCCAGGACCGAAGAAACTGCCTGTCAGCGGCTGGACGCAGCCCAGCTACAGCCCTGCTACCAGGCGTCCGACCTGTCATCAGGTCTTGAAGAGTAGCCGGGGATCAGACACGATGTACACCGCAGTGCGAATCCGAGAAGGTGACGGAAGTCCCACTAGTATCCTGGAAAGTACCCACGGACCATTGCTTGCAAAAGAAATCAAGCAGAGCGCTGCGAGCTGCTACGCCACCTACCAAAGAGAATAAGGCGAGTAATGCCATCGATTTTCCTAGAAAATACTTCTGCAGCTTCGAACACCGGAGCACGAAGTGTGGGCTTTCAACCACAACCTCCGTGGCAGGTGCTCGCCCGAAATCCGTACCACCACCCGGTCTATGTGATTACCGGAGTTCCCACCGCATCGCCAACGGCTCCTTCCCCGTCACCGGGCAAGACGATGCATGCCAAGATCATCTGGGCTTATCGTTTCGTTCGCAGCATCCGCCGGGCTGACTTGGCGTCCCCTGGACGAGGGGTATGGGCGGACGGCGTTGATGTCGGTCCGAGGAGTCAGAATCAATTCTTTCATAGTCGCGCCTGGCCTTGAATCAGTGTCTCGGTCAACTGCAGGCATCCTGCGCTCTACTAAGGATCGGATGGTTTCTGTGCAGATGTTGCTATCCCGTTCACGCTAGCGATTCTTTCTTCACCACCAAGCGCGCGAGACATACCCTCGAAAACTCCAAGCATCCAGTCTGAATCTGCCCTTTGCCGATAAGTTCTGGCTCATCTCTCGTTTCGGGATCTGTTTTGTCCATTTTCATCCTCGACAGTCCAATCTGGCTATTGACCGAGGCCAATGGTATGGTTTCGACCTGGCTCGACTCTCGGAATCATTCGCCGCTGAGGCAACAGTGACAGCTATCCATGTATATAGGGTGCGGGCCCTCCTCCTTTCGTCTCTTATCATGAATGCAATGCCTGTTTGGCTGGAAACCCTCTAATCAGACGAAGTGGCGGCCAAGTGGTCAGACAGCCAAGGCGACTCAAGCGAAGGCGACTCAAGTCAGTCTACCAGCGTTGCAGAGGAGAAGCCAGAGGAGCAGGACCCGCGCCCAGGGTACGGGAGGAAGGGGCTACCCGGTCTGCGCCCCTCGGTTGGGGGCAAAGGGCCGACCGGGGCTTGGTCGCAGGAGGCGCTGGAAGAGACCCTCCGCAGCGGCAACCCCATGTACGACTACTTGGAACTGGTGCAGGCGGCGGTGGCAGGGGCCAAAAAACAGCGCAACGAGCAGGGGCTTGAGCTTGACGATGAGGAAACCGAATCTGGAGAGAGCGGTGATGAGCAGGAACCGTGTGAAATAGACATGGAGTAGAAATCCGATTTGGTTGGTTGGGCCCGTTCCAAAGCCCTAATGAGCCGACTGGACATGTTGCAGGTCATTTTAGAGATAGACGGCAGGGTGAGTCATTGACTTTTTGGATCGGCTTGCACTGACTTCTGCACCTCAGTCGCATCTCTCATTTCTCTACATCGTTGGTCAAGAATTGCCGCTTTCCGACCGTCGAAGACGAAGCCTGCCACCGCTATTGCAGCAACGACTTTCGTGCTCCCAGACAGAGTGAAGCCTCTGGGGCGGATGATGAAGCCCTGCGCATCTGCTCTGTTATCAGCTTGCTCGGCTCTGGGGAGTAGGAGGTTCCGACGACATAGGGGACTGAATAGTCCAGTCTACAGCAAATACTGGACTACTGGCCCTGTGTTCTTGTTCCTGCGAGGCTTTCAGGGAGAGCGCTTAGCCCCAGAGCCGTGGCCGAGGTCCCCAGTGCCGCGATTGCGGGGAGGTTGTGAAGGCGGATCGGGGGGTGAAGATGGTACCCAGTGCAGCACACCCTGTCCTCGAGTTGCTCAAAGTGTGGTGGGATGCACCACAATGAACGCGTCATCTCGCAGCCGGAATCCGACACACGTGGGGTTCCGTCTGGATTTGGCTGCACCAAATGCAGAGTCCCCTTGATACCTGCACAGTTGGCGCGCCAATGGCTGTATCCCTTGAAGTTAATTCTCTGGGAAAGAAGACAGTCTCTACACTCGGCCCTGTACTTGAAAGACTTCGCAGATTGGGCGGTGCATTCAAATCCAGGGCTTGCTCCATCCTTTTTCGTGGGCTTCGACTCCGACGCCTGAGTCCAGCATCTCCGTGTGCAAGTCACTGCGCTGTGCCACTGCCTCGGTTGGCGTTGGGAAAACTTGTCATATTCATCACAATCATAATCGGATGTCAAACTCCTACAAAACCGAAGAGGGGGTGCGAGCTACGCTCTTTGATGAGCTACATGAGAAGTTCCACATTGTTCTCCGGTATAAGCAGCTTCGGCTGTCGAAGGAGTACCTTGTAGGTCTACAATCTCATAACACATTCTTGACCCAGGCATAAGAACGCTGATTTTCAAACTACAGATCCATCCAAAGCTAGCCTCCGAACAGGGCTCGTCGGGCGAGACCCGAGACATGGTGCTGTGCTGCGGCGACGGTTGAGAGGGGTTCAGTGGATCCTGGTTCCCGCCCCTGTCCTTCACAACTGGGTGCGCATGTGGGACATGTTTGTTGACGAAGAGAATTCAGACATGGAGCTCCACATTGCCTACCATACAAACTTCGGCACCGAACATCCTCTTGTGAGCAATGAGCATCGCGGGCAGTTCCAGTGGGCCGACATCGAGGATTACCGTCGGACAGAGGCGGAGTACTTCGCGTGCGTCAATCCCCGGCCCATCGAATGGAAAGAATGGTACGATGCTGCTCAGACCCAGCCTAAGCGGAACAGCAAGACGGGAGACAAGATTGCCATTGCCTAGTCGAAGAAATCGCTGCTGAAACTTGCGTGGCATACTTCTTTCCCTGTTATGTTCTGTCGCAGCCGGCCAGAGCACGAATTTTCAACATAGAGCCATCCAGCCCCGCCTGTGGTACCGCTGCACGGAGTTCAACAAGGTTTGTACCAAGTCCTGTGCCCGGGGTACCTTGTAGGTCTATATTCTTATAGTACATTCTTGATTCAGGCAAAAGAATACTGATTTTCAAATCATAGACTCACCCAAAGCTAGCCTCTGAACAAGTCTCGTCGGGCGAGGCCCGAGACATGGTGCTGTGCTGCGGCGACCGGGAATCCAGAAGCATGTTGACAATGGGCTGATCAATGAAGCTGTGGTGGTAGGTGAAGACCGCGGTTTCTTTCATCGTCAATATTCTTGGAGATGCAACTGACGATGGTATCTGAGAGTGGAAAGGCATGGCCTGAGCTCCGAAGTTTCATGGAGGCCACGAGGCCACTATCCATCCAAGTCGTCCATCGCCCCTCCATACTTCCTAGCAGCTACAGGAACGTCTAGGTGCACCAATTTCCTCGCTTGGGCAAGGCAGATAGTGTAGTTGACAAAGACTGCCCTCAAATCCTTGCCTCGTCCATTTGCCACTTCACTGCCTGGATACCTTCTTCCTCCACAAGATTCTCGTCCACAAAAACGGCATCATCTGGGCTGATGATTTCACTGCCTTGCGCGCAGTACGCCATCTGTACAACTCAGCAGAGCAGAGCAGGCAAATGCCCTTCCGGATGGATGGTCGTGGCCATGGGTGGAGCGTTGGATGACCGCCCACCCGGACCTGCTCTACAGCCACTGGTTTCACGGCCTGCGCTCGCAGTCTGACTTTTTTATAGCGCAACCCACCAAAATAATCCTCACGGACGGAAGGGTGTTATCAAGCCGCTGGCCTGCTGAACAACCACTACCTCAGTCGTCATGGGCGTGATAATTCTAACTGCCTGCACCCAGCCCCGCGAGCCAAGATGGGTCACACTGGATAAGAACGGTTGGGCATCACTCAAGCGGAGCCAATTTCTGGGTTTGATGAGAGACCTTGGCAAGGAACTATCACGCAGCTTTGAAGGGTCTTATTTCGAAGAGTTTCTCGATCGCGGACGGCGGCTCTTACCGAAGCTGGAACTGTGCGAGATCGCAGACAATGATACATTTGAATGGGTCAGCCCACTGCCTGCTGGTATCCTCAAGCGGAGGGACATTTACACAGGAGTGGATAGACTTTTCACACGAGAAGGAGCACGAGGCGCCTCATACATGGAAGTATTGCTTTCATTATAAGAGCGAAGGGACATGTCACCGGATTTATGACGGCTATGGTGACTATAAATCAGAGAGGAGGCGTCTTTCGAGTCAGTTGTCTCCAAGTAGCTGGACACTGGACCGAGTGTAAAGGGCCAACGCGCGTTTCACAATCCATCACGACCTCCAGCCTCGACAACACCCGACCATTACCAAGATGCAGAGAAAAACCGGAGACCGCACGTCTCCTCTTTCTCGACTTTCATTTCTGTCGTTTGCACCTCTTCGCGGCCAGATCGCAAACTTTGTCCCTACAGTGGATACCTACGCCCTGCGACTGCCGCTCAGCCCATTCGTCCTCCGCAGAAGGCCCGGATAACCAGATCTCATTCTAGGGGTCACCCAATATACCCATCATTTCTGTGGCTGCCCGATCGCCTGCAACATCTCAAGGAGGACGGCCCTGCATATCTGGGGGTATGATCGATACGTGAGGAAGGCGGCCTTCGTGGCCAAGGTTGCGATAGCCCGGGAAATCATGGTGGGCGAGCAGCTGGCGCCGGACAGCCCCCTCATGCGGCTCGACACCATCTATTCTTAATCTTCCTTCCTCGGGCAAACATGTCCAGCACGTTCTGAAGATGGCCGGTTCCATAATCACGGCCTCTAGATTGATCGCGAGAACAGCGCTACCCACCGTTCCCGGGCAGCAGGACGCTCTATCGGTTCACTCGTCGCAGCGGAGAGAATGTCCGATGGGCCTTAGGAGAGACCCGACCACCACAACAACTTATATGAGGTCTGGTACTCAATAAACGACTTGCGCGAGTCGACGGGATCGCAGGATGTGACCTTTCCTGACATATCGTGGAGATTCGAGAAGCAACCGTAACGCAAGACAGCGATCCTACACGAAAGCTCTGGTGATCCGTCACCACGCAGAAACCGTAAGCCGTCTACGGAGATCGAAGCCCATACTTCAACCACCTCGACGACGTTCATAAGGGCGTTGGACAGGCGCCCTGCGAACAGGACAGGAAACCCTGGCTGTCTGGTATTATATCGGGCGTTATCTGACTGGCAGAGTCGCTTAGCAATAGCCTTACTTCTTGAGAGTTTACTCACCATGGGCAGCGGCGACTCCCAGCAGCTACCTACAAATGTCGCAATAGATTTCTTCACATTCAATGCCACACAGAGACGCCGGTCCCCAACCTGGTGGTTGGGTTGAGGAACCCACTGGAAAGGACAGTCTGCTGGGTGATCACTGACCAGGTCCAGTTGTACGGCAGCTGAAGCCTACCCTGGACTTTATCACACTGGGTACAGATCCTGGTCTAAGACTACACATGATGTGAGTTGACTTGCGGGGCCTGCACTGGGTTTCGATGGCTACATCTCTCCCCTGACCCAGGAAGGCTTATTGGATGATCGCGATCACCCCCTGGTGGAGGTTGTCCTACGCCGCGCATCGTCTGCGCTAGGTGAATTGGCTGATTCCAACACCTTGAATGCGCTTGCACTATGGATGGATAGCTCTACACACATCGTACTCGACAGAAAATATCGCAGAGATCAGAGTGCAGATCATTTTCGGCAAGGTATCCGGCTTCTCATTTCTTTTCTTTTCTGTTCTGTTCTGTTCTTTTGACTTTCTTTCCAACGTCGCCGGCGACTGCAGGACCGAAATACCCAGCAACATCAACTTCAGCGCCCTGTTGCGCTCCCGGCAAACCCAATCGTTGACCCAGTAGCCGGGGGCGAGATCCAAGAGCATCTACAATGTCCCGTGGTGCTTCTTCCAACTGGGGGCCAGTCCCCGGGTGTTCTTGCAAAGTACAGGGGGGCTCATTGTACCTGTACAATGTTGGTAGAGAGCAACAGGGGCAGGTGGGCCAGCTAGTTCATTCGTCTGTACAGAGCGCAGAGTGCCCCCTGGCATGTGCGCGGCGAGGGCTGCAGTATCTGAAAGCAGGAGACCGAGAGAGACCTGACCAGGACAGGCCTCATCATCAGCAGCAGCAGCAGGCAAAAGAGCATATGTCGTCTTCAAACAAGGCACGTCTCAGGAACGATCTCCCGTTGACGTCTCACTATCCTGCCATCAGACCACAGGGGTGGAGACTCGGATTTCGCTTCAGAATGCGGCTCTTGTCAAGCAAAAAGATGGCTGGCCCTTGCCGGAACTAACCTTCTATAAAACAACCATTACGGAATCTTCAGTTCGGGACTAAGACCAAAAGCCTGAGGACTGAAAATCAAGGCGGAGAACCTTGAAAGGGCGAAGCAGTAGGCGTTTCCTACCGCGCTGAACGCCTTCCTGCCCTCGGTCAACCTCTCTAGCCTGCCTTCCACGCAGCCCTCGGCTATTGCAATTCCCCCGATGGCCGATTATCATGTACAGATTCTGAGGTTCGGCATATGCTACCCAGACGATGGAAACCATCAGAACGCGTGGTCACGACTGGTCTCGACTCCAATCCTTAATAGCGGCCACTTCCCAGTCGAAGGAATCGCTGCTGAAACTGGCGTGGCATACTTCTTTCCCTGTCATGTTCTGTCACAACCGGCCAGAGCACGAGGACTCAAGAAAGAGATCTACCCCCGCCTATGACGCCCGTGGTACTGGCGTGCGGAGTTCAACAAGGCCTATTCCAAGTCCTGTGCCCGGGGCTCTAGGCCACTCCTGTTTAGCTTGCGGTATAGCCTGGCCGGTACCTTGCCCCAACGAGACGCCACCGGCATCCACCAAGACAGACAGGAGTACTACCCGACAGCACCACCACCAGCCGGAGGAAGAGCCACAGAGCGCTGTGAGTGCCGCGAGCACCACAACAACCACAGCTCCCAACATTGCCCCCGCACCTTTCTTCTCATCAACAAATAGTTCTTCCGACAACATGCCAACAGCAAGCGCAAAAGGCCGTGTGAACCAAGGGTCAGCAGACCCTGGTTATGCGTGCGGTGGCTGGGGACACCTCTAATGTTCCCATGTCACAGCCATCGATATCAGCGCTTGCGCCGTTGCCAAGAAGTTGGGGGCAGAGGGGATCGCTGCACTCTTCCGGGGCACCACCGACCGCGTGACGTATTGGGGACGGGTGGACTGGAAATGGTACGCATCCGCTGGAGAGAAGGCAGCACCTCTGATCACCAGCAGAGAGGATGAGGCCAAGCGGACGAATGCGGCAGAGGCCAGGTGCAAGGACCAACGACCGGCTTCGACTCTGCCATACAGATTCGGGAGCCAGTTGTCAAGAGCACGGCTGTCCAATCCTGCCTATGCGGGAATGGCTGCTCCAGCGCGACAAGTGATTCGGGAGTCAAAGGGTATCCCAGAATCCAAAGACCCGGACTTGCCAATTCGAGCCGATGAACTCAATTCCCGGATAACAAGATCCAGTCGCAGGCAAAGAGACCCGACTTTTGGCTGCATCGCGCGCGAAGTACTCGAGCCAGACAATGAATGCTCTATGCGATCAGCGACGATCGATGAGACGCGCGTATCGCCACCCTGCCATCTGTTGCGTGCGCAGATGTCTTGGAAAGACTACCTGCGTGACCCTCGATACGAGCCGTCAACGGAAGTGTCAGTCGGACTTGAGGGGGTTTAGGCTCGTCACGGAGATGCTCACTGCTGCGGTCACAGAGATCAACCAGACATGCCTGTTTGTGACTGCGGCGCACTGGCGCGCGTGTCTGTTGATAAGAAGTCGGAAGCTGAATCTTCGCCCGGCAGCGGATCACCGTGTTATATATCTGGAACCCTGCTACGATGGCGAGAGTTGGTAACTCTGCTGGAGTTTCTGAGTGAGAATCCTTACATAGAGTTTTCAAACTGTTTTATCAAATGCTTGGGGAGGCGAGCGACTCATCGCCAGGGAGTCCTCATCCAACAGCCGCGACTCAGAAGAATCTACATTTGGATAGCCAGAAGGTGCTGAAGCTGACAACCACGGAAGAGGTTCTACAGGTGGAGATAGAGCCGACGATACCGAGACAAGAGGGACATATTACACTTCAGGACGATGAAGTCAGAGATCCCCAGAGGGTACAATACGATGGTGCTGTGATTAAGCCTAGTTTCATGTCGGTTATCATAGCAACTACGTCGGCAGATTCGGATCCCGACACGATCGATACAGGCACGCTCACGACTGACGAGCCCACCAGTGTCGGTCAGGCCTCCAATGCAACCATGCGCCGGCGATGGTCACCTCGAGATCGCCCGTGATCCACCGCCGTCCGACCGGCACATTGACACGGCGATCTCGAGACGGAGGCGAACAGCTCTGCAGTACGCTGCCTACTGCGGCAGCGAGGAGGGGGTCAGGGATCTACTTGAACACGGCACGTATGTTCATGCGACGGACCCGTAGGGTGAGACGGCGCTCTCGTATGCCCCGATGAGGTATGGAGATGAGCCAGTCGAAGCGCTCCTGGCCGCGTGGAGCAGACGTGAATACAGGGGTTGAGATGCCCTTGTTGCAGAGTATCGCTTCGGACGATTGTAAACTTGTGCCTTGCTTGCTCGCTCATGGAGCGGACCCTGATGTGGGAACCTACAACAGCAGAGAATCAGCACTCACCCGTAAGATCAATCAGTCTTGCGATCTGGCCGGTTATCAACTGCCTGAACGGTGCGCCGGTGGATGCTGTGAACATCACCCTGTTCTACTGCGGCGCCGGCTGCCCCGAGCAATGACGCTGCACGGCAGCATCACGCAGTCCCCGTTGACAGTACGTCTGTTCCGGTAGGCGAGGCCATGAGCCGCCGGCGCGGAGGTCGCGATCCGGATTCACCACAGTGACGCTGGGGAAGGCGACCCTGAACTTGAGGACGCGCGCCGGGGTAATAAGGGGAGTTGGAGCCGTCTTGTGTCTGGCATCTCTAAGGCACATCCTGCTTTCCCAGAGTGACCACCCGATTCTCGTGGTTGCGATGTCGGTCATCCAGCGATCCCACCCCATTGGGGTCACGACCTCGTCCTCGAGGACTTCCCTGGCGCGAGTGGCGTGGACCTTGGGCAGAACTTCGATCGCGTCCTCCAAGCGACGCCGGACTGACCGGAGACGAGATGGAGGTCTTGGTGGCGAAATACCGTAGCCAAGGAAGGGGTGAACTCGATCCCCGGCCAACTGTAAGAAACATGGCCCGTCTGCCGCAAATCAACACGAGGGAACCGCCTTACAGTGACGCCGGCCTGACCCGAGAAGAAATGGAGGTCTTGGGAGCGAGATACCGTCGCCAAGGAAGCGGTGATGGTGTTGACGGAGGTTCCATCCTGCTCTGGGCGTGCGTGAGTTGGCTATGGAACTCTGTATTTGCTTGACAATACTTTATCTTTGGGGCTGGCTGTCTGTCTGTCTGTCTGTTTATCTTCCGAATGATCACGTCAACTGTACAAGGTAGTCCATCTCGATCGCAGATCGCAGGACTTGACTGCCGCCGCGGATGATTTCAACGACTCGGCAGGAGCTCCTTCCCCATTTGAACTTACTCGAGCCGAACACCTCTTGCGAGCAGCGTCAGGGAGGAAGTAGCATGGAACAGCTCATGACCCAAGTCGTGCCAGACTCTTGGGTGGATATCCTACTTGAAACGCGCATGGGTCTCTTCAAGTTTGACAGAAGTCTGCCGCCTTATTGCAGTCGGTTGGCTCTCGCCGCCTTCAGACGATTGACTTAGCTAGCAAGCTCTCGTACTTCACACCAAACGACGAGATCTACGGTTCTATCAAACTTACTTGCAGGGGTGTGAAATCATCTTGGTCGAGCTGCGATCAGGTGTCGTCTAACTATGATGGGAATCAATTTGCAGCTATGGGCTGTTGGCCTAAGGCGGTTACTCACCAAGAGATGCATACATATATAGAAGATTTGGTATAGCTTGAAAACATACGTATGATAATAAAAGTCTCTCACGAATCTAGAGATGTATGGGGTTGGCCCGAGGCGCTTACGAGTTAGATGCTCACTGCTGTGGAAGGTCAGAGGTCGAAGACTCGCTAATCGCCATTCAGGAGTTGAGGTGATGTTTCTCTCGCGATGATAATCTCTTTATAGATAGACTATGGCATTAGTGGGCTATACTATCGATATAAAATCCATTTCTACTATATCTCATGGTATCCAAGAGGCAGTAATGCAGCTTCAGGCACTTAGAATGCCAGCATCGCGCCTGCGGTCTACAAACCCCTGGTCAGCTGACCAGCCTGCCAACCGTACAACCAAGTGCGCGAGGCTTCACAGGCAAGGGAGGCGCGACAGCCAACTTGAACCTTGAAACAAGCAAGCTACTATCTCCCCTCCTGCGCGTACTCCTAAAGACACATATCACTCAACCACTCATTTCGCGCTCCGGAGACCATCAACTTCCAACATCCCCTCCCCCAGACATCAAGCAAGCCAACCCACCCCCACCAACCAACATCCCCACAACCCCAGAAACCCAAATCTACTCCTCGAAACCCATTTGCCATCATGAACAGCTACTCAAAACACCCCAGATCCTCCAAAAAGCCTCGCGGTGCCGCAAAACCGTGGCAACAGCCTAACCCAAACCAAACATATAGGCCCGGCAAGTGCTGTCCCTCGCAACAAACACCCCGTATGGTCTAGATGGAGACGACGGTTGTGGGTCACCTAACGGTTTCCTGCTTCAGACCTGGGTTCGAACCCCAGTACGGGGGAATTTCTTTTTTGTTTCTTGCCAAGGGGGGAGGGGTTGTGTCATTGGGATGTCATCGTTGTCTTGGGGTGGTGGTGGGGATGGAGGGGTGCGGTAGGGCGTCATTGCAGTGTGTTTTTAGGGGGAGGGGCAGTCATGTGGATGGATGCGCGTGTATTTCGTCTCTGGGGACTACTGGTAATGGTAGTTGTAAGGGGCTTGGGGTTGCTTTTTGGAATTGTTCGTGAGAGATATGATATCCTAGGACTGTGGGGGCGGGCAGAGGTGGAAGCGATGGAGCGGGCAGTTTTGGGTGCACAGGTGGATTCGGTGGTCTAGTCGGGTGTTGCTCTTGACGGCTTGCTAAAATTATGCGATGTACTCTAGGCACTTAGTATCCCGCTTGTTGGTCCTGGAAATGCAGAAAGGTAAGAGACTGTGGGGACGTTCATTCCCAAGTTTGCGCTACACAGAAAGTCGTCCTCCACACTCAAACGCATGAGCTTGACTGATCCACGAGAACTCTACTAGCAGTAGTGAAGCCCACGAGCATCTTGAACTCCTTCTCTAATCTGGCTCATACGGCCTGGTACAGCCATCGAAACAGCCCTAACAGCTATCTAAGATGATCTTCCCTCCGCTGCCGGCCCAACTCGGACATCTCCTCGGCTTTACAGCATCTCGGCCCTAAGAAAACCGAGGCCGACGCTATCCCCGCATCTCGGTCTATCCCTCGGAGAAAGCGCTTTTGATCTGATAAGATCAATTTCATAGAGAGGCAGCCAGAGTATAGCAAGTATAAAGACCAGTTCTCTTCATATCCTCCAACCATCAGATTCCAACCTCACCATCCAACCATTCCCAACAATCCTGATCAACACCAACAATGACCACCCAATCCCCCCCAACCATCTGGCACGGCGTACGTCCACCCCACTCCCACCCCCTTTCCCCAAAACTAACCCCCCAAAGGACGGCCGCGAACAAGCCCTCCAAACCCACCTCCTCCAACACCCCGCCGCCGCCCACCTCCGCAACAACCCCACCGCCATCCTCACGGAAATCGACAACTGGGCCACCGCCCACAACCACTGCATGATGACCATCGGCCCCGAACGCAGCCAGCCCATCGTCGATCTCATCCGCTCCTCCTCCCCGCGCACGATAGTCGAGCTAGGCGGCTACATCGGCTACTCCGCCATCCAGTTCGCCGACGAGCTGCGCCGCACCAACACCACCACCACCCCCGGCCACGCAGCACGGTACTACAGCCTCGAGAGCAACGCGGCGTACGCGGCGGTAGCGCAATCGCTGATCGACTTCGCGGGGCTGGGGGATCTGGTGCGGGTGCTTGTGGGCGAGGCGAAGGAGTCGTTGGCGCGGGTGGCGCGGGAACTTGGGGGCAACGCAGCGGTGGATCTGCTGTTTGTCGATCATTGGGGGGAGCTGTATCTTCCGGATTTGCTGGTCGCCGAGAATTTGGGGCTGTTGAGGGAGGGCGCGCTGGTCGTGGCGGATAATGTGGGGATGGAGGGGGCGCGGGCGTATGCGCGGTGGATGGAGCAGGCGGTGCATGAGGTCGAGGGGAGGGTGGTGCGGTATGAGAGTCGGACGTTGCCTTATACTTTGGTCAATGGGCAGGAGGTTTGTTTACCTTTGGTAGGGAGATTGATGTGTGGTGTTGCTGACTTGGCTTTGTTCTAGGATGCTGTGATGATTAGTAGGAAGGTTTAGGGGTGAGGAGTGTCTGGAGTGGCGTTGGTGATGGCTGGATGTGGTGAGTTTGGGAATATATTTCCTTCTCGGGCCGGTGCTACTCTACCCGTGCGAAGACGGCTTTCGATCACGTTGTTCTGGTTGTTTTTTTTAACAACGTCAACATCTGGTGTAATATCGTTGCTCTTCTGTGATAGTATGTCTGGCGATATCATCTCTGTTGCACCAGGTGATGGATATGGGTGGTGCTGCCTTCATTCAAGTCAAGAAAGTCATGCGTTCTTAAGCTAGACTATCATGTTTGCATTGTTTGCCTGAGGTCGCGGCGGCGTCCTCTGCAGTCTGCTCCACCCTTGTATTTGGGGAGGTTTTTGAGTGAGAATCTTGACTCTCCTTGCTCTGGTTATTTTCGAGTCCCAAATTGACATTTTCATCAACAATTTGAAAACACATTGCAAGATATGGGACTATGTTTGGCCACAATTCACTCACACCGTAGTATACCGAGTCTTGGCACGGAAGCGGGCGAGCGGGCGTAAAGATAGTAGATACTAGTAGTGACTGAGACAGTACGCAACAGCAAAGTCTGATGCCGAAAGGTCTCTGCCCATTGCATAGAACGGGCTGTACTCACTGTTGCAGGACACACGGCAGCAAGAAAACCCCCAATGCATGCTGCACTGCACCCTGCAGTCATGTGAGTGCCCTCCCAATCCGGCAAAAACCATGAGAGCCAGCCCTAAGCCAGATCGGGAGATGACAATGAGAGCTCCCCGCCCGGAAGGGTACCTTCCTCACTTGACCAACTTTCCGCTGCTAACTTACCATTGCTACAAATCATGCCATGCAATATTGTGACACATATATATGAAGCTCCCCAGCCTAGCTCTCATCCCAACCACCTTTCCAGCCCCAAAACTGCCCCCTCTACTGGCAGAACCCCATCATGTACGACGTGATCGTCATCGGCGCCGGCTTCAGCGGCCTCCAAGCGGCCTACTCCGCCCAGCAAGCCGGGCTCTCGGTTCTCGTTCTCGAAGCCCGCGACCGCGTCGGCGGCAAGGTCTGGAGCGTGCCGCTGGCCTCGGGACGGGGCTGCGTCGAGCTCGGCGCTGCCTGGATCAACGACACCCTGCAGCCGCGGGTGTGGGCGTATGCGCAGCGGTTCGGGATGAAGGTTGTGCAGCAGCGGCTGGCGGGCCAGGCGGTGATGGAGCCGAGCGGGGAGGAGCGGTTTCTATTTCCGTTCGGCGTGACGCCGGAGGTGTGTGACCTTCTCGTTGAACCCTAATGAGATGAGATGCTGACAAGCGGGCGGGGCGAAACAGTTCAGCGAGGACGAGAAGAAGAGCCTGGAGTCTGTCCGCGACCACATCCAGGCCGAATCGCTCAAACCGGGGCCCGTCTCCGTCGAGGACGACAGCATCACGTTGGAGGAGTACGTGCGCAAGCTCGGGGCGCTGCCCAGGGTGGTCCAGATGGTGAACCTGTGGGCGCAGGTGATGCACGGGGTGGAGGCCAGCGAGGAGTCGGCGGGGTGGTTCATCGACTACTGTCGTCGCAACCGGGGGCTGTTGGCGGTCCGCGCGGACGACGCGTCGGGGGGACAGTATCTGCGCTTTCAGGATGGTGAGAGCCCATCCCCACATACCCCATTTTACTCTTCTCTTGGGAGGTGCCACTATTAACATCTGCCCAACCTGCCAAGGCGCCCAAACAATCGCCACCCGCCTGGCAGCTCTGATCGGCCACCAAAACATCCACCTCTCGACCCCCGTGCAGGCCATCCACGACCACGCCTCCCACGTCACCGTCACCACCACGACATCCGACAAGAAAGCTTACACGGCCCGCAAGCTCATCCTCTCCCTCCCCAGCACCATGTACAAAGAACTCACGATCACGCCCCCGCTTCCCCCCGCCGTCCGCACCGTCACCGACACCACCATCCTCGGCGACTACAACAAGGCCATCATCTGCTACGACACGCCCTGGTGGCGCGCCCAGCACTTCAACGGGTACTTCGCCAGCTACGCGGGGCCCGTCATCTTGGCGCGGGACACCTCCGTCGACGAGAGGCGGCACTTCTCGCTGACGTGCTTCGTGAACGGGGCCCCAGGGAGGCAGTGGAGCCGGCTGCTGCCGCACGAGCGGCGGGCGGCGGTGCTGAAGCAGCTGGCCCGGGTGTTCGGGCAGGACGACACGTCCGAGGTGTGGCGCCCGATCGAGATGTTCGATCAGATCTGGCAGCACGAGCGGTATATTCGGGGCGCGTTGGCGCCGATCACGGCGCTGGGGCATTTGGCGCGGTACGAAGAGGTGTATGGGCGGGCGGTGGGGAATGTGCATTTCGTGGGGACGGAGTATAGTGCCGTCTGGAAGGGGTATATGGAGGGGGCGTTGTGGTCCGGGGAGAAGGGGGCGGAGGAGGTGGTGCAGGCCTTGAGGGGGAGGGGGATGGGGAGGGCGGTGTTGTAGTTTCTTTTCGCTTGTCTGCTTTGCTGTGGGAGCCGTTTGTTGCGGTTCCAGCTTATTGAGGTAGTGGTAGTGGGGAATACTGTACTTACAGTAAGACTTGATGCGTCTTTCTGTTCGAGGTATTGTGAATATCAGTTCAAACTAAGCTGCATGCCCTTCCTTCTCCATACACCATACTGTACAGTACAATTCTCACCACGAATCAACCCATCTTAAATTCATCCAACATGGTCGAATTGACATATTCAAAAGCAATGCAGCCCCATCCATTGATTTATCACCAAACACATTCTCCCCTCCCGCCATACAATCAATCTCCTGCGCAGACCCAGGAAAGGGGAACCCTTTTCCCGTTCGGGCCCTCAAACCCACGGCCGGGACACAGACCTCGGACTGCACCCAGGGTATTACCACTTAGTAGAAGCACTAGTTACCGTGGTGGGTATCGCCCGCCCCGTTCGTGTTGATAAGCTGCATACAACTTTAGTTACAGCGTTAGTTCGTTTTTACTGTTGTCCTTTTTGCTGGCTGGATATATACCGTCCACTGATCTGGGATCAGACTAGGGCAGGGCGGGGCGGGGCGGGTTGGATTGCCTGATTCGGTAAGGAATGCGCTGCCGGGGCTTGACTGGGGTGGATTCTGGTACAGTATTGATGTTGTTCTTCTGGGTTGGGGTTGGGGTTTGGAGTGAGGTGTACAAGAAAGGTTAGATGTGGGAATGGGATGGAGGGCAGATAAGTGCTTTGAAGGGGGCGTTGATTATTCTTTGTCAAGGGGTGTGTTTGTAGTACAGTCCTTTGGGGTCGCATAATCATCTGAGGGGCATTTTTTTATATACAGGATCGTCACAGAAGTGAGTTCAGTATAGTATATTGTAGAGATCCTACCCTAAGTATCAAGCATCATATCGCCACGCCACCTCCCTCGCAATCTATCCCTATCTCCACCAACCCATAGCAGTGCCTTCCACAACCATCCCCACTACCCATCCAAGAGCCAACAAGACATTCTACCCCATGATAGTCTCCAACCTTCTCTCCATCATAACATCCAACCAAAACGCCTCCTCCTGATCCTCCTGACCTCCACCCCTTTCCTCCCCCCCACAAGCACCCGCATCATCCGCCCGCCTCCACACCTCGCGCACCAAATCCCCCACCCGCTCCAGCGGCGGCCGCGGCAGAATCCGCGTGAGATCCGCCAGCCGCGCGCTCACGCGCCGCCGCGCCTGCGCAATCTCCACATCCACGGCGTCGAACGGCGCCCACGCGTCCGCCGCCACGCCTAGCGGTGTTCCTCTCGAGAAAACCAGACTCCCCGCCGTCGCGGCCAGGAGGACGGGCTGCATTACCCTCGTTCCTGAGGTGACGGGGAGGGTTTCTAGTAAGGCGATGATATGAAGGGCGAGGTGCCGTCGGAATTGGCGGGGGGTCATTTCCGCGGAGAGGATGGGGAGAGCCGGATGCTCGGGTATGTGGACGCCTTGCTGGGAGTGGAGTCTCGAGACGAGGATGGCTGGGAAGGCGTGGTAGATCTGCAGCAGGGCAACGCAGCGGTAGGCGTCAGCGAGGATGGTGAAGTGGTTCGCCGGGGTGTTGGTGTCGCCTGTCGGAAGGTGGTGGCCTATGCCGTCGACGTCGAAGGTGAGGAGCTCGGTTTCGAGGGTTTGGGCTTTCGCGTGGGGAGTTGAGTGGATGGTGTCGTCGTAGGGGAGTGGGTTTGTTTGCTGGGTTTCTGGGGCAGTGGTCAGGCTGATGGGTGGCGCGTGGCGCGCAGATCGAATGAGGCGTGCGATCTGATAGAAATACTGCAGTGCAGTGGGGAGAGGCCCCGTCCACGGGTGTAGAAGGGTTTGGCCGTTGACCACGTAGATCGGTAGGTGGTGGTCGCTGTCGCCGTCGCCGTCGCTGTCAGCAGCCCCGACATCCGAGATATCCTGCGCGACGAACGCGGCTAGCATGTTCCAGTACAATAGACACTGCTTGAAAAATGGATACTGTTGGGTGAGCACCTCCGAATTCGAGGATGATGTGGGAGATTTGTGTGCGTGGCTCCGGCTCTGTCGCACGAGGAACCGCCGCGCGGCCTGGAGATAGGGCAACCCCAGGTCGCCCCCGTTGTGCCACGCAGTGGTCGACCCGACCATCAACAGCCCGTAGAACAGATTCTCATCGTTTAGCGTCGGCGACACCGCCATCGCCTCCTGCAAAGCGTGGATGGCCCGCCGCTGCATCTGGGCGCCCACGGCGCGCATGCCGGGAAAGTCGCCGGCCAGCGAGGCGGCGGCCATGCTCTGGATGGCGTAGTAGATGGGGGCGTTCTGGCTCCAGAGGCGGGCGATGTTGGTGCGGAAGGGGTTGAGGTCCGAGTCGAACGACGACCACATGGCGCAGACGTAGTCAAAGTAGTATTCCACCAGCAGAGCGGGGAGGTGCACCAGGAATGAGGGTATGGAGGTGTCTGTGAGTCGTCGCCGGAGACTCTCCAGGTTGTCTATCTGGTTTGGGGTGCGGGCAGACGACAGGCCTGGTAGAGCGAGTGCATTGTGTAGCGCCTGAGGAGTTGAT